AAACCCCGCTGCAGGGTCTCTGCCGTGCCCCGACCTGCTGCCGCACCGGGCCAGCCCCGGCCGAGCGGCCCAGCCCGCGGAGCTGTACACCAACCCAGGCGGTAAAGAAATACACAGGAACTGTTAACAGTGTTTTAACTGAGGAATCATCAAAAGACATCTTTAATTTAGAAGTCAAAAGCATCAAGAAATGTTCCACTGTCCCCACCTGAAGACGGCAGCAGCCCTTCGCCATGCAAAAACAGCTTAATTCCAACTCAGTTACAGCACAGGAAAAATTAATGGGTTTTGTTAGAAAAAGAAATGGCACCATGCCCAACTTCTGCAATTAAACATTTTACAGGTTTCTTCAAGTAATCTCACACCATTATAATAGATGCCCACCACAGTTAACACTGTAATTACATAGGTCTCATCACAGCTGTATAGAAATTCCAGCATTTTGACATTAAAGATGTAACTGAAGATACAAAGAATGCTTTTTACTTGAGTCTGGTGCCTTCAGTCTGGAAGAAAAGCAAAGAATCCGGCCTCCCCAACTGTCCCAGCAGTAAAAGCAAAGAATGCAGCACTGCTGTAACTGACACAGCCATCCTGAGCCTCATCCAGAATCCTGGACGTTAACCCAAGACTGAGGGGTTTGCGCCTGGACAAGGAGTTCCTCAGCTTTGAAACACAGCCCAAAGTTACCAGTGAAACCTTATGTTGTGGGTAACGCATGTTACACAACCACCATCAGGATTTAAACACGTTCGAAGCGGGGAGTGAAATCCCCCAAATGCCCTCGGTTACTGAAATGTTCCATTACAGAACAGTCAGGTACCTTTGTCTGTCCTGATGGGGTATGACCTCCTATAAAAAAATTAAGTTCTGATTCTTCAGCTGGGCTTCTTGACAGATTTTCTTTCCTTAAAATACTCTCCATTTTGACTACAAATAGAACAGAAAAGATCCCTAAAAAGATACTTAAATATGAACACTCACATTAAACAATGAAATGGAAGTGGTGTGGAGAACTCTAAACAAACAGCAGGGAGATGGATATCTAAAACTGCTCCTTTGGTTCGCTGATCTTTCTCCTTTTTGGCAGCACATCTTGACTAGATGAGAGTTCAAACTGATGAACCTGCCAAAGGAAGATAAATACTGCATTACAGGTAGCCGCACGGCACAGACTGTGGCCTGCTCCACAGCGCTGGCAAGTTTAACATGGGAAAAGCCCACCCAACCAGGAGAGCTGCAACATGGGAAGCTGCCTGTTGAGCATCTGTCTTGACCCTGCTGTTACCTGGTCCCTGCCCAGAGGTGCTAAGCCTGGAGTAACATCTGCGATACTGTTTTCTGGCAAAATTGACCCCCCTCCAAATTACTGAAGGAGGACTGGGATGTTATTTATGCTGTAACAAACAGGGCCTCCAGTGCATCACAGCTTCAAGGGAACATAAGGTGTGCATGCCCACCGCAGAGGCAATGCGCCCCAAGTCCATGAGCTAGGAGCCAATGCGATGGCCACGACTGCGGACAGCGCAGAGCCAGGCAGCACCAGGAGGGCTCTGCACACTGGCAGAGCGCCCATACCAACGGGAGAGGGGCTCAGCACCACACAGGCTCACCTTACTGAGTTTAATCCAATTATTTCTGACTTGCACACATGTGAAAAGATCACAATTTCGCCTTTAGCTCCACTGTGCTTTTAATTATTTAAAGCAACTGTGCTTTGTTTAAACCCTAGTATTAAGTTCATTAACAAAACCTTTTTTTGAAGGAACGATGCGGTGATAGCGAGCATACAGAATGATGTTCTCTTTTTCCCCCACATCAGTGAATAACGAAAAATACTGTATATGACCCTGGGGTTGGAAGTAAAATAATTCTATTCTGCAGTAAGCAGTACTTTACAAAGACTGAATCTGCTAGTTCTATATCCTGAATCTCCGCTTCATGAATTTGTTGCAAACTCTGATAGCCCTTTTCACATGCAGCTTTCATACACATTTTTAATACACAGACCAATTTCTCCTTTAGACTTCGCTAGAACATTGTGCTGAGAAATTAATTTTGCATGCTCCCAAGCTTGATTTCCATCAGCCTTTAGAGAAATAAGGCAACTATTACTTGAGGAGAAAACTACTAGCAACAATGGAGCTGCACATTATGAATCCTTACACAACTACTGCACTAAAAATTAGTGAAGAGCTTTCGTGAGCGGGGACAGAAAGGGTACGATTTTCCCTAGCCCTGACACATAATTTCCCCTCCTGACTGTAAATGAAGAGCACTTAATTTACTAGAATGGCAGTATTCACCCTACAGCTTTTTCTGAGAAGAACCTACCAGTAACCCCGAACATCTGCAAGTGAGCAATGTCGAGGTCGTGTGAAGGCCCCCCAGCGCCTCCCAAAGCTGGGCTACCAAGCTCAGCTGGTAAAGGCAGCAGCAGACAGGCCCCAACGCCACCTCCAAAGGCCATATCTCACCCAGAAGACAACTTCTGCTCCACTGGTGCAAGGCTGGAGGAATTTGGCTCCCCACAAGTAGCACCGACTATGAGACTCATCTGCTGCAATGTGATTAAGCAAAGAAATAACAGATTTTTCTTGGTATGAATGAGCTGTAGAGCTGAGGTTAGAATGTTGGCCTGTGTTTTCCAAGTAAAATCACCAGCAAGCATATGGTACACTGGGCTGGGGATCCCTGCTGGCACATACTTTTAACAACCACTGATTAAAACAGTGAGGAATTTGGCTAAATGCATTCTGAAAAAGATACAAATCAATCCTAATTAATCTTTCTCGACCTGTGTTAATTACATCAACACCCAGCTTTTAACTCTTTGCAACCCAATTTTTTTTGGCACTAAGAATCCAGATGTGTTGAGTTTAATGGGAATTTTAGAAGTGATGAGAATTTCATTCTGTGAACATGAAATATATTAAAGCTTAGAGTTTTATTCACTGTTTGGAACAGAAAAAGGCTTAAAGAATAGAAGTAGAAAGAACAGAACTAGAGAAAAAGCAGTACTAACAGTGCTGGTTTGAAATATCTTTCCACTTCTTGTCCTGCTCTCTGACACATTAAGTTCAGATGTCTGTCTTGCCAAGTGATCAACCTAAAACCAGAATATAGATATTGCCTTGTAACAGCAGCAAAAAAAATGTATTAGACTACAGCAGGGTTCAGTGCTATAGCATGCAAAGAGCTCTGGCTCTGCTCACCACAGCGCTTGAGCCGAAATTTAAATGCAGGCGTATACCCATTGAAGTCAGCAGCATTATTTACAGCTGAATGTGTCAAAGAACCCCAACAGATCAAAGCATCAGTTATTTTTATACAGCAAGTCACTCAGTTACCTAGGGCTATTCTGTTTTAAGAAATCTTAAGGACCTGTGTTTGAAGAAGTCCTCCACGTTTAAAATATACCATTTTACTCTATGCAGGGAATGTAGCCAGAGTTTTAAGTCTGAGTAATACACCTGCATTTTAAGTTTTAATCAAACTGTAAACAAGTTTTGGTGTGTCAAAATTAGTAGAGAAATTTCCATTAGGCAGAGTGTTTAGTTACAGCAGTTTATAAACATGGAAATTACGTTCCTATTTCTCTTAATAACAGTCAGGCCATCTGTTTGGTTTGAAAACTATCACAGAGGAACAGCCTTTTGTTATTGTTTTTGATTGCTTTAGAATATTAACCATTTTTGTAGAACACCAGAAAGTAAGATGTAAAGGCATTTTATTGCTGAAAATACTGTGGTAAAAAAATCTTTAGCAGATTAACTATGAATCAAAGTAGGAGAGAGACTTCACAAAAGCTCTAGTAAAAGTTTAAGACAGAGTGCAATTTTCATACCTGAGGATTAGAAACATACAGATTCTGCTTCCCTCCAGCCTCTGTAACTTCATCTTCTTCACAAGTTAAATTTGGTTCTATAAAAGAGTTGTTAAATACTAAAGCACACTGTTAACACACTAGCAGTCTCTTAGCACTAATGTTTTGCTACAAGGAACATGTGCACTTCATAAATACAGGGAACAGGTGCTTCAAAAGGGTTCAACTCTATGTGCAAGTCGTTAACTCCACTGAACATTGCATTCTCTTACATAGGAAATCACCAAATTAACAATCATAGGCACACAAGGGATGCTTATGCTAAGTAGTACAGATTTATACACAGAATCTTTGGAAGAGTGGACTTGATCTCCAAACTCCTTTATACGCTGTACTGCTAAAGGCTCATCTACATTGGGATTTGCTTCCCAGTACAAAGCCTCATGAGCCCGTTTTGCCCTGCAGAACAGGCAAACGGTGCTGCGGGGCTACTCTGGCACAGCTTCTGCCTATTCTGAACGCACTGCCAGTAGATGGCTCCCATTTTGAACCCAACCACACGCAACCAAGTGACTTTGGCTGCAGTTCCTGCAGCTACAGTTGTCCTTGTCACTGCCTGCAGCTGCATCGACAGGCCACAAACAGTCAGTTCTGGAGATTTGCTGTTGTTTCTAATCCATGCTGGGTTTTATCTAGGATACAGATAGAAGCATGAACTGGTTAAAGACAAGCTGTAGAAATTTTCAGGGTGGCAAATGCATTTTCCTGTGTCTTGTAGTTCCTGTAAATAAAACATTATACCAACTCCAGAAGATAAGCGATTTGCTGCATTTTTGCATGGTTTTAGAACTTCTATGAATTTCTAAAAGCACCAGATACAGCTTTATGTAGTTAGTTCAGTTCTGCAGTCTACTAGCATCATCAAGATAAAAAACGCTGATCTACGCATGCTGTTTCCCATATGTTTCCATGATTATTTTTGAACAGCATGGACATGTTAGCTGTTTTTGCAAAGTTGCACATTTTATTTCTGAAACAAACAACATTAATGTCACAATTTAAATATACAGCGCAGCCTATTCAGTGTTGGGCTTGAATGATGGTGTAGCCAAAAAGACATGCCTGTAACAAGGCCTACTTGTATTAGATGTGATAAGAAACTATTCATTGTTACTTTAGGTAGAAGGTTAACAATTCTTAGGATGAGCACCTGTTACACATCATGATAAAAAGGAGGAGCTACAGGACACCTCAAGGTGTCCTGTATACATACTTTTATATACATACTTTTCTGAAAGGGAGTACACTAATTGCCTCCAGGAGCATACTGACCTTCCTGAGGCATATAGCAAATAACTACTAACACCGAAGTACTGAGAAACTAGGGGAAAGGGAATTCAGGCCAGGGTCCCCACCACCACCCACCCATAAGCCCCCTACCCAAATTATAGCACCTACGCAAAAGATAGAAGCAGAGAAAGGAACTGAGTGTGCGTTCTAGTTTGCATACTAGGCAAAGAAATATGAACCAATTATTGTAATGGGGAGTGTACCGCTTTAGCTTTGTAATCATTGTTACTATTCCTGTATGACAAGAGAACCAGCATTAGGCATGCCTGATTAGAGGAACGATCCTCCTGACACCCAGCGCTGCAATAAAAGGAAATGCCTGCTTCTTCATGCTAAATTGGTGTTAAGGAGTTTTGTTTTATTCCTGAATTCAGTGACAATAGGACACTCCAACCCATTTAAAAAAAAGATAAATTCCAGGCTCAACTCGCTTTGTCCAACTGCCTCTGCAAGCACTCAGACACCACGGTAGCCCCAAGAAGCTGCTAGTCTTGTTCAGTTTGGGACAACCAAAAGCCTCAGCACTGACACAGTTGCTGCTTTTATAGTTATGTGGAAAACAGCATGTCCAGAAGCTTTTATGGAAAATTGGTGTTTCTGAAGTCTGCAGAACCAGACTTATATTTCAAAGCAGATACTACTTTAGGGAAATACATTAGGAAGAGTTAACAGAGCAAGTAGCAGCGCTAAGGGGCATTTCTTCTAGCAGTGCCATATATTCATTATCTCCACAGAAGTCTCTACCTCTGCTAGAGGAAAAAAAAGCATTTTATATAGGCTTCTCATCCAAATAAAGTCATCCTTCCTCCCCCCCCCCCCCCGATGTGGTCATAAAGCTTGATTATTTCAGCCTTGAGAACTGTGTTCTTCAGCTATCCTATTCTACATCAGCATATCAAGGCATTGCTGAGCATACTCATCTACATCATCCCTACTTCATCTTCTTCCTAAAGGGCACTTATTTCCATTTTTGATCTTTGCTATGTTTGAAATGCCTTATGTACAGCAAATGGGTACAGGTATTGTCTGGATGCTTCCTATACAGTCTCTCCAAGATGAGCAGATCAACAAGCAGCAATCCATTCTTCAGTTTGGTGGCAAAGTTCAGGTTTTGAGCTCCTGAGCTATCTTGGGAAATCTGAAGATAAATCATCTTCTACTTTTCCTCCTAGATTCTCTAAAATCTTAAAGGGAAAGTTCTGCTCACAGAGATCCCTGAGGACAGTTTGCCATCTCATTTTGAACTGGAGACAGTCTGGGTCCACATATTGGAGCACTGATTAAAAAACTGTGGAGTCCTTCCAGAGTGCCTTTCTGGCAGCAGCTGTGGTCAGGCTGGTGTAGCCAGGACACCTGTTTTACTGGCACTTCTGCATTCAGAGCTTACAGTGAAGGACTTTTATACGATTGTAAGCAAAGAGCACAGAAAGTATTTATAAAGGTTAAGAAGAATCCAACAAGACAGGTGCTACTGTTTTTCATCAGAAAGGCTGAGCAGGTACTGACTAATGTCCTGCATAGTGGGAAGGGTGTAATTGTTTATTTGCTAACAAGGGAGAAGGCAGCTTTGCCTTGCAGTGTTAAGAGTCCTCAGAGTGCTTCCAAAACATAAGACTTCATTTATAGTCTCTGCAGAACACTCAGTTCCACTAGTTACTGAAGTTGTTATATGAAACTTTTTAAAATAAAACAGAAATTAATGTCTTATGTACCTTCCTGAGAAGTGCTGCCTTACAGGCTTTCACCTGGAATTTGCTTTTTGCTGCTACTCACATGGTTTACGTAGTTTTACATTGACAGATTTTACGGTGTTAGGATTTTACTTGAGAAAATTCAGTTTGCTGAGATTCATACTAACGAAGATGCTTTGCTAGAACTTGTACCTATTAAAACTAAAGTTTAAAAAGTTCACTTGCAATTATCAAAATATTCTATGCATGCAGTAAGAGAAAAGGGCACAGGTCCAGAGTAAGCTGTGAAAGCAAGCAGCTAGAAGAGGCACTAAAATAGCCAGCAGCACAGGCATAATCACACATTCATAAAACAAAAAATATTTTGAGATTAAGTTAGTGATTGTATCAGGAATAGCAAACCACAGTAATGAACAACTTTTTTTGTACAGAAGAACATGCATCATACTGATCAGTATTTTCACATGGGTATCATTCCGTCTACCACAACATAAAAACCTCTTCTGTGTACACAAACCCTGATGGTCTCAATGCCTCCACAACCAGACTGAAGTATGTACAGACTGAAGAATCAGACCAACTGTAGTCAGAGCTTAAGAAAAAAAGGTGGCTAAAAGTGGTATTTCTGGTAAACTTTAGTGACTGAAGCTGTGAGGATACAGTCCAAACACCTGTGATTTAAGCAAAAACAGACCTGGACCTTGTTTTGCACAGAGAATTCTGCTTCCCAAATCTGCAATAATGAAATCAAGAGCACAATACCTCTGCTAGCTTTAAGTGGAAATTAAATATATTAGTAAAAACATAACAATAATAGAAAAATCAAACAACAGGATTTACTTGTAAATATATAACCGATTAAATTTAGCTTATCTGATAAAATGGAATGGAAGATCAGAATTTTACATTAGAAATGTGAAAACTTGCATTTGCTAACCAAGTGCTTCACAGAACAAAGCCACAATAGAAAATAAAGGCATAACAATGTATGTGAAGAAAACAGAATGTGAATTTGAACATAGTGGTCTACGTCAGAAAATTGAGTTCTTGTTTTAGTAACATCAGGAAAAAGAGGCACAAACTGAAGAGACTTTAAAAATATATGTAAATGTTACCTTGAGCTTCTCTAATATTTATATCATTCCTATCTTCCACTTTATTATCCAAGACAGGATCTTCCTAGATTAAGGAAAAGGTCTATCACTTAATGCAGACAAATAAGGAAGAGGGTTTGTACTCAGATGCTTAGGGCCAGAGCTTATTAGATGGATTCTTAGTGGAACAAACTGTATTGAAATAATTGAATCTGACACACAACATACAGACTAGCTCAGCATTACTTAATTATTGCTAGCACACATTTACTTCAACTACCACCAAAAACATCTGTTAAAAAATACTAAAGTTGTAACAACATATATTGAAAGAATACTATCAGTGCATCAATTACCATCTTCCTATTGCCTGTGAAACAGCAATTCAGAGACATGCAGATTTAGAGGGCCAAGTGGTTTATTTCCATCTCATCACCAACAGGCCTCCCTAGCAATGGTAATTGAGGGGGAAGGGCCAAAACCCCTGAAGCTCCACCTCCTTCTCACCTATGGACAGTATAGATCAGCACACATTTGCACATTCTAACATGACTAAAGGCATTTGCTGCCTGCCTCAACTGACCCCAGAAATATACCTCCAGTTGCTGAAGCCTGCACAAGCACCATCCCAAGAGCCATCTTGGGCACTCTAGTGTCAGCAGCAGGACGCACGAGTCTGTCACGCACTCATGCCTTCCGCAAGCTTCGTTTTGTGCTTTTTTTATAGGCAGATTTCCCCAGGGAAAAATCCCAACATTGAATCGAGTTTGTTTTAACTTTAGCTGTCACATCACTAGCTGTACATGTACTGCTGTACAATAGGATCCCAGAGCAAATTTATTGCCAGTCAATACTGTCTGACTGCAGCAGCTTGCTGGGGACTGGCATGGGTCAGCTCCAGGGAGGTTTCACCTGTGTCCTGCACATGGAGCACCTGTACCCACAGCAGGTGCCCCTCTGCCTCTCACCCTGCTGCTCCTCTCTGGTCTCACAGAGGCATGACTACCAACAAAGCTGTGGCTGACAAGCATTATGCTGATGCACTTGTTCAATACTGCTTTAACAATGACAGATTGCTAAATGGAGCAGTAAAACTAAAGCAAAAACGTCTTGCTTAAATACATCTGGAAATACCGAGGTTTTTATTAATGTTACAGTAAGGTGCGTAGTAAAACAATAACCCTTTTCTAGACTATAAATCACAAAAAATTTCAACAAGCTACACAAAACACTTGCGCACTTACATTCGTGTCCTGGTTCTCCTCTTCTGGATCATCTCTGTCCACTCTGAGCACCTGGAGAGGCACATTAGTCTCTCCATGCTTTAAGATGCTTTTATCAACATTTTCCATTCGTTGCTTTTCAGTTGTAACTTTAACTTTCAGCATATGAAAAGGCGTTGGCACTTCACCCACATTCAGATACATAGGCTCTCCCTCAAATATCATCCCCTCACATTCACCCTCCTTAAAACCAGGAGGTTGGTAATCAGGTGGTGTAACTGCAGAAAAGAATTTGTTAAATGTGTTAGAATGAAACACATTCTTGTAAAACTAATTTTAACTTGTGCAAAAAGATTATTTTTGCCTTTAAATACAAAAAGCTACTCCAAAAAATTTGTGAGGGGAATAATCAACTCGTACTAAATGAAGTTCTTTTCCCTAGGCAAAACCCAATTAAAACTATTTGAAGCAGTTTATATGTGCAAAGAGATGTGCTAGAAGCTCTGAATTTTCATTATAAAGCAATAATACATTCTGAAAGCAGAGCTAGACATTTAATTAGTCATCCAAACTAGAAGTAGTCTGGTAGACATGTTACATCCTAACATACTCAGAAAAACCCTGTTTTTAAAACACACTGAAATCCTCGCTCCAATGAAGTCAGTGCCAAGACTGCGCTCCTACAGCAAGATCGAATCCATTCCCCTTGGATTTTAGAAATTGTTGCAAGAAACAGACACATGAAAAACATCATCATCTAACAACTCACAGAATGGCTTGGGTTGGAAGGAACCTCAAAGATCATCTAGTTCCCAAC